AACTCCATAACAATTTTATTGTCTTTTACTTTTAAAAAAATTTAAAAATTATATTTAGATCCCGTAACCCAACAATTTTACGTTTATAATAAGGTGCATCCTTTGTTTATGGTAAGGTGCATCCTTTTATTCTTAACCATGGAGTTCGAATCCTTTCATCTTTAAGTTGTAAATTGTTTTAAAAAATTTTAACGATTAATTTTACATAATAAAAAATACTATATAAAATATCACTAAAATTAATTAAAAAATAAGTTTACATTTTAAATAAAGTACTTTGTAAGTAAATTGCATAATATATTTATAGTATAGCCCCTTTGATTGTCCATTATGGAACTTTTCAATAATTAAGAGTTGGAATATTGATATTAAAGATTTTAAGTTTAAAATTTTAAGATGGATTTGGAGAACTGTTTCACAATATATAATTTGATTATTTGATGTATTAAAAAAAATTTACAAATGGTCCTAAAAAAACCCATTTGAGTTTATTATACTTCATTAAATTTACTAAAATCACCTACAGGCTCAGACTTAGCACCTGCACCTCCTGGAAGAAACTTCCATCCAGGGATCCACAAAAACAGCACAACACAACACGTGAAAATGGGTTCATTCATCTCAATCCTTTTCAGATACCCATTCTAGATCCAGAAAGCCAGAAAAAGAAAAGAAAAGAAAAGAAAAGAAAAGAAATTTGGAGATATTGCGTTCTAATATTATGTGAGTGGACTAAGGTTACCAATGAGCTGTCTATGTTGATGCTTAAATCCTATTTTTAATTTTTCCTCTTTCTTTTTTTTTTTCTGTAATGCTGTTTTCCAATCTGGGACGTTTACGTGTTTTTTTTTTTTTTTTAAATAACAAAAGAAACACGCTTTCTCCAATGCCATTAGCCCATTGCCCACGGATTCTATTGTGCTTTCCTTGGTAAGGAGAAAGACTTATAGAATTTGTTCGATTTTTCTTTTTAACAACTTTGGAACACAAATATTATTTTTTAACAGTTAGGTAATATTCTCTTTTTATTTTTTATTTTTTATTTTTAAATGATTAGGTAATATTCTTTTCTTTTATTTTTTATTCTAGTCTAAGCAGTTTTATTTGATTTAAATACCAAAATGTAAATTTTTTTTATTAAGTAAATAAAAACAATTGCTATTATGAGTTGTGTTATTGCTTAACCAGATTCTTTTCTAACCATTACAATTTTAAGGAGGAAAAATTAATTTCAAAAATCAACCTAAAAGGAATATGGTACCCACTTTTAGCCAGTTGGATTAAGTTGGATTAGGAAGTCAGGTCCATTACCTCTTACTTTGATAAATTCAAGCTATCCCAGATGTTGTATTTAACAAAGTTCAATGACACCCTGTTGTAGGGGTCCTTGTTGCAACTTAAACGTCCATTGGTTTAAAATAACATCAATTTAATTGAATCTTATCCGTAGTACCTACGAACTTTTTCTAAAAAACATTATCTTATGGTGAAACTCTATGTACAAAATATAGTACCCTCCTCTATAATTTTAATAAATTTAATTTTTTATTTATATTGTTTAAATTCAATTATTTATTTTTTAAAATGTTATTTAATGTATTTATTTTTATTTTATTATCATTTTAGAAGATAATTATAATATCTATTAAATAAAAAGTATTATCTAAGTGGTATTTAATTAAAAATAAATATAAAATTTTTATTAATAAATAATTACATTTTTATTTTATTAAAAAATTAAATTTATTAAAAATAAACAAAAAATTAATAATTTATCCATATTTGTACTTAAAGATAAAATGTTTTTTTTCTTTTTACTGTAGGAGACATAATTAATAAGTTAATATTTGTTCGAGTATTGATCGAGGAGTCGACTTGATGATAATATATTGTGCTCCACCTTACTTCTCACACAGAAAAACGTAACCACTTGAACCATAAGAGGGAGTGCAAAGATAAAAGGCTATTTAGTATAAAGATTTGAAACCAATGATTAAAAATTTCATTTGATCTAAAGATTAAAAAATAATTATTATTAGTAATTTAAACATTCTTAATTATTAAATTAAATAAAACCGCTAACTACTATATTTAAATTGTTGTACGAGACAATCCATCAAACTCCATTTTTTTTAGTTTTTCCTATTTTAAATTTCCTCTCTTATTCATAAAACAAACATATCCCTTCTTGAATATTTTTAAGGAAGAAAACAATCTAGGATGGTTTTTTTGTGGAAATATGTGTAATTTTAATTTTATTTAAATAATTTTTTTATATTCTATTTTGAGTAGTAAAAATAATAAAGACACAAGAATCACAAGGGCTCTGAATCCAACTGTTGTAGCCCGGCCCACACCTGATCTATTTGCTAATATCACTATCACCGACTGAAAACCTCACTCGAGCAGAGAGCGTGTGGCCTCAAACTTTGCAGAAAAACCTTGTGAGTTGTGACGAAACTAGTTCTTTGTATCTTATAATCCAATCATTTTCCATCCAACCCCCAAGATATATATGGCTGCAATGTATTAGAATTGAGTGATGGTGATTTTTTCTTTTTCTTTTTTTTTTTTTTTTTAGATAAACTTATACATATTTTAAAGTTAAATTATTAAAGGATAATTTGCAAATTTTTTTTTTGTTATTTTTTGAGATAATTTTATAGGTTAAAGCTTTTTTTTTTTTTTTTAAATCTCTTTTTAGTTTCTCTTTTGAAAATAGTTCATTTTTTATCTTTAAAATTTAAAATACAACTCCTTTTTACTTCTTCCATTATTTTTTTCTTGCTTGACACGTTATGTTATTGAAAATCTTAAAATAGAAAGACTAAAACATTTGTTTTTTTTTTTTATGCAGAGAAACTAAAAAGGGAGTTCTTTAAATAAAGGGATTAAAAAAGGATTAAAATTTAAAAATGTTCTTTTTTTATTCCTCCACTCTAAACTTTTTATTATTTAACATGTTATATATATAAAAAATAGCAGAGGGACTGAAAAATGAAGCCAAATTTTAAATTTTAAGAAATAAAAAAAGGGTTACTTAACTAAAGGCACTAAAAAGAAGTTTGTTAGAGTAGTAGGATCAAAATAAGAATTTAACTTAATTTTTATATGTTATTTACATGATTATTTTTATTTAAAATTTATAATATTGAATATATATTTATTTAATAATATGTAAAAATTATATAAAAAATTATTTATATCGCTACTTTAACTTTATTAGTTTAATTAAAAATCAATAATATATAATAAAATTAAAAATTTTATAAAAAAAATTTACTTCCTTTTTTTTTTTTAACTAGTACAATTTTTGAGAAATAGAGAGGAGAATAG